CACTCCACTGCCGGTAGGTGTTGACACCGACGAGCCCGACTACCAGATCCAGCGCATCCTCAGGCACCGTCGCCGTCTCCAGGGGGGTGTCACTTTCATCGACTTCTTGGTTCGTTGGCGTGGTTACGACGCAGCAGACGACAGCTGGGTTCCTTCGTCCTCGCTGTCTCCTGACAACGCTTGCCTCCAAGCGTACCTTCAGTCTGCAGGCGCCGCGGACGTCGCCTCCTTGGGCGGGGGGTAGTGTTAGAGGGGTGTTTACTGTTCATTCCGAACAGTACATTCCTAGTCACCATTATCCTTATCTTCTCAGATTCTCTAGTGCCACGTGGCACTCTACTTTTCTTGCACTCCAATTCTTGGTCCCACATTCCACTTTCCAACCTTGTTTCTTGCATGCTATATAAACCTTGCTTGTACTTGCCATTATCAATCAATTCTCATTCAACTCTTCTTCAATTACTCAGTAACTTCTTCGCCTATTTCGCCAATAGTTCTTTCGCCAAAGTCTTCCGCCGCGTTTCATCCTCGACTTAGTCGACCCCGCTAATTCTTTAGCGGACTTAGGCCGTCGGGCCTAACACCAGGGCCTCCCCCCTGGGCCCTGCCCCTCCCCATTCGCCCCCCCCCCCCCTTCCCCCCCACCTTGTAAAGAATGTCAGCTTCGAAATAAGAAAAGAGACCTTTGTTCAAACATGTTCCGGAACGTGTTTGCAACGTCTTGGCGATGTCTTCGTCAGCTCGCAAATAAGAATTGTCTCTACACCCTGTTTCTCGACCCTCTCACCTTGCGCGATTCGCTGCTACAGTGCGGTCAGGTGCCATAAACCGTATGGCTGAAACCTGCGGGCAAAGCCGCACCAGCTGACGGAGTGGTACTGGGGGCAAAATTTTTCTTTATCGCTGTATACCCTTTTCAACCGCTTTGAAACGCTTGGTTAATGTTCTTTACCATGCAGCATCCTAGCTAACCGCTTTCTTGTGAATGTGCTTGTACCGTCGGTGATAAGACCATTTCAAACGTGGTGACGTTCTACAACCAGTGCACGTTCTGCAACCAGATGCTCTGCTAGCGCGAAACAGGGTGTACATCGAACCAAGTTGTCATATCCAGCACGACGGATTTCACGTGTGAGGTCGTACAAAGGTTGTTGAAATAGTAGTTAAGGATGTCGGCTAGGTCAAAGGGTGGGGTATACGAGGAGTGTTGAGCAAGTTTTTGTACCCCCTAAGGATAGCCCCTACATAGCCTAGGTAGATATAATCATATGACGTTTTGACACACCCTCATTGGCGAAGTGGGAGCTTGAAAGTAACTTGGATATGTGAAATCTGGGGCATTGAATGCTGCATTTATGTCTACGCACTACCGAAACCTACGTGGGCCCGGTGGACTTGAAAGCGTTATTAAATCGTATCCATGCCAAGTGTGGTGCTGGACGGTAGTGGTCCTTTCTTTGGTCAACCACATGTTGAACAACAGCTGGCGAGGACTGTAGCGTTGCTGATTAGCATTTTCTTTGTTCACAGCTCGAACGCTGGATTTAGGGTTGTGGTTGTGGATTGGTGAAGCACGCTGACAAAGCATGGGGGGCAGCACATTGCCGGGTTCGCCGGAAACTCGGCTCATTCTGCTTCGGAACTTCCTCCCCACACTCATTGTTCCCTTCTAACAGACCAGAAATTGATGCAAACAGTCTTCTTACTTAACGGGTTTGCTATTCTTTCAGTAACGCTTCACGACCTGATGATCTGAACTGCTAAAATATGAAGTTCGGCCCTCCCAGGATTTTGATCATTTTAGCCGGGCTGGTATTTTGGCACAATTTCGCCTCAAAATTTCGAATGGACTTCGGGCGTGACGACAATAGGAGGTTAAAAAAGTCTGACAGATGTTTACCCAATCGACACTAGCTCCGGAGGTTCTGGTTGACCCGTTCCATCCCATCCCAACCAATTCCATCCCATTTCAACTTATCCCATCCCATATCATCTCATCCCATCCTACAATATGTGTTTTGAACCTACCACATCGTGCCTTCCAGTCTGGAGGAGTCTACGAGATATATCCAATGAGGTGGCATATATTTTTTGGGGGGCTTTTGGGTGAGCCCAGGAGGAAATCAGACTCACCACCTCCTGAAATGAGGTGGCAGGAGGGACTGGTTTGACTGGAGGGTGGAGGAAGAGGAAAGGTCAACGTGAACTTGCGTGGCACCACTTGAAGAGCCAAGTCCAACAAGCTGATACACCCTGTTTCTCGACCCTCTCACCTTGCGCGATTCGCTGCTACAGTGCGGTCAGGTGCCATAAACCGTATGGCTGAAACCTGCGGGCAAAGCCGCACCAGCTGACGGAGTGGTACTGGGGGCAAAATTTTTCTTTATCGCTGTATACCCTTTTCAACCGCTTTGAAACGCTTGGTTAATGTTCTTTACCATGCAGCATCCTAGCTAACCGCTTTCTTGTGAATGTGCTTGTACCGTCGGTGATAAGACCATTTCAAACGTGGTGACGTTCTACAACCTGTGCATGTTCTGCAACCAGATGCTCTGCTAGCGCGAAACAGGGTGTACTGAACAGAACTCGTGCTAAGGGTGCTTGTGTGGTGAATGGCCCTTGCAAACAGGCACGTTAAAGCAGGGGTACACATTCCTAGGGGTGGTTTTTGGGGGCATAGTTAGGGTACACCCTCTGCTGCCTGTTGATTTGTTGGCGAATTGTTCAAGGTTTGTTGAAGCTCGGGCGAGGTTATGAACCAAGTCTGGCGAAGCCAACCCATTTCGGACAAGCACTTGGGCGCGACTCTGTCCAATCAGAGGTGTTCAGAAAGTTGATTAGGCGGAACGAGCACGCAGCCTGGCGTAACTCACTCCTAGATAGCGCAAACAACCAATCTGAAGGAAAAACAAGTGCCCGACAATCTGAACAAGCATAGGTCCCACCCACCATCTCAACTGAAATAGAGCTCCTCGCCACTACGACTAAGTCCACAACTTCGTGGGCAGTCCCCTACCGTAGGAGAGCACCATCGCATGCGACTGGGAAGCGGCTCGGCTAGAGCGAGTAGTCAGGGGATAACCGCCGCGTCGTTGATGCTGCGGGAAAGCCGAATCGCATTCTCGCACGAGGACGTCCCAAGCTTAGCGGTATTAGGGCGCCGTCTCCTCTCGCCTCCCCGCTAAATGCGCCATCCCGCGCAGCATCACCCCCAGTCCAAGTCAGCCCCAGTGCTGCCTTGTCTCCTCACTGCCGCCCAATCGCAATCGCGATCCCATCTCCACATCGCCACCAGGGCCCCGACTCGGGCACAGCGCGATGAAATCGCGGCTACAACCCCGGAGTGTAAGGACACATCGCCGCGGATAAGAGTACATCGCCGCGATCTCTACGCGTCGCCGCCTCTTCGCCACCTCTTCGCCGCCATATCGCGAGCATTCCGCGAGACAAGGCATCCTCCTTGCCGCCACATCGTCTCATCGCCAGCACATCGCCGCCTCGCCTCCTCAACGCGTGCCGCCGCCAGTTCCCCGCCTTCTGCATCGCCGCCTCAATCGCCCTCGCTTCCACCACCGCGCCGGCGTTGCACTCATTTTCCTCGACCCCTTTCAACCCTCCCCCCCCCCTCCCCCGGCGCCCCCCACCCTCCCCGTGTCCAATTACCCCACCCCGCTACACGGGCTCCATCAGCTCCCTCCATGCCCTCTATTTGGCGAGTCCCCATCCCGGAACTTTTCTTCATGCCCTCTCCCGCAGGCCGGATCTCCTCCCTTCCCCATATCCCATTGTCGTGTTCCCATTGCCCCTTCCCTCCCCTTCCTCCTTCCCCCTAACCCCGCCCTCTCTCCCCTCCTCGCCTTCCACAGGTTGCGTCACGCCTCTTCCTCCTCCGGGTCGTGCACTACCCCGCGTCGCAGGTGCCATGGTACTGTGGTGCTCAGGGGGACATGCGCCTCATACGTGCACCCTTCTCTCATCCCCTCCACCCTCTCATCCCCTCCTCCCCACTCTCATCCCCTCCTCCCCACTCTCATCCCCTCCTCCACACTCTGATCCCCTCCTAAGTTCTCACATCCCCTCCTCCCATCGCTCCTCCACTCCTTCCATCTCTGATTCCGTCCTCCCCTCTGGGTGTCCCCTCTTCCCCTCTCTCATCCCCTCCTCCCCTCTCTCATCCCCTCCTCCCCTCTCTCATCCCCTCTTCCCCTCTCTCATCCCCTCCTCCCCTCTCTCATCCCCTCCTTCCTTCTCTAATCCCTTTGCTCCTCCACTCCTTCCATCTCTGATTCCGTCCTCCCCTCTGGGTGTCCCCTCTTCCCCTCTCTCATCCCCTCTTCCCCTCTCTCATCCCCTCCTCCCCTCTCTCATCCCCTCTTCCCCTCTCTCATCCCCTCTTCCCCTCTCTCATCCCCTCCTCCCCTCTATCATCCCCTCTTCCCCTCTCTCATCCTCTCCTCCCCTCTCTCATCCCCTCTTCCCCTCTCTCATCCCCTCTTCCCCTCTCTCATCCCCTCCTCCCCTCTCTCATCCCCTCTTCCCCTCTCTCATCCCCTCCTCCCCTCTCTCATCCCCTCTTCCCCTCTCTCATCCCCTCCTCCCCTCTCTCATCCCCTCTTCCCCTCTCTCATCCCCTCCTCCCCTCTCTCATCCCCTCTTCCCCTCTCTCATCCCCTCCTCCCCTCTCTCATCCCCTCCTCCCCTCTCTCATCCCCTCTTCCCCTCTCTCATCCCCTCCTCCCCTCTCTCATCCCCTCTTCCCCTCTCTCATCCCCTCCTCCCCTCTCTCATCCCCTCCTTCCTTCTCTAATCCCTTTGCTCCTCCACTCCTTCCATCTCTGAGACCTTCCTACCCTCTATTATCCCTTCCTCCCCGGTCCCATCCCCTCCTCCCCTCTCTCCTCCCCTCCTCCCCTCTTTCATCCCGTCCTCCCCTCTATCATCTCCTCCCTCCTCTCATCCCGTCCTCCCCTCTCTCATCCCGTCCAATGGGCCAATGAGCAATGAGAGACGGCAATCTCAAGGCCAATGGGCGGGACGTAAGGCAGTTGAGAAGCAGGTGCGTGGGTGGGGCAGAAAACATGCGGGCAGAAACCAGGTGGGTAGGGGGGAGAGCACCCGAGGAGAGAAGGAAAGGTGAAATATGTTTTATTTTGTGTTCCACGAAGCCCACAGTATGCAAGCACCTCCGAGTGCATGGTGCAGGTCACGGGGCTCACTGCCATCCGTTCCTCCTCTCATTCATCACATCCTCCCTCTCATCCTTTCCTCCCATCTCTCATCTGTCCCTCTCCTCTCCCATCCTCTCCCCCACTATCCTCCTCTCTCCCCCCTGTCCCCCTCTCTCACTATGTCCTCATCTCTCACCTGGTCCTCCTCTCTCCCACCTCCCGCCCCTGCTCCCTCCTAGGTGGAAGGCGTGGGCGCGAGGCGGTGCAGAGCGGTGCAGGAGGGTGCCGCCGGGAATGCACGTGAGTGAGGACGGGCAGGCGGGGACCCCTTGTCCCCCCGGCACGTTCAGTGAGGGCGGGCGCATGGTGATGGGCACATAGGATGCCTGCATGAGGGGGTTGGGCGCATGGGGTTGGGCGCATGGGGTTGGGAGAATGGGGATGGGAGAATGTGTTCATGCTGCCATGACTCGAGAGATCTGCAGGCATGCTGGCCACAGCGGTGTCCACCACATACCCACTCAACCCACCTCCACCACGGACCTCCCTCCTGTGTGTTTTGCTGCTGCATGGCCTTCCCTTCATGGCATGGCATGGCTTGACATGGAATGGGATGGCATGGTGGCACGCATGGCAGGGAGCGGAATGGTCACCGCTGATCGGTATGGCACGGGCACCACGTTATTTCCAGGAAGCAGTGAGTGTTTCGTGGCCGATGCAAGAGTGCCCCCCTATCTCCTCCCTGTCCACCTCTCTCGGAGGTGTCCTCCTCTCCCCCCTCCTGTCCTCTCTCTCGTCGTATCGCACCCTACTTGCCCTGCGACGCACATGTTTCCGCCATGTTTCACTCCCATCCCGTCCTCCCCTCTCGCATCCCCTCTCCCCTCTCTCTCTCTCATGTTGCTGGCACCTGAGCCATCCAATGCCCGCAGCTTCTGGTCGCATTTTCTCCCCTCCTCGCTTTCCCACGCCTCCACATCCCTTCCATTCACACCACTCTCTGTAGACTCATTGTCCCCTGTAACTACAACCACACCACAACGTCTCCCCTCACCCTTTCCCCTCTCCCGCATTCCTTCATCTCCTCCCCCCCCACCCGTGGCCAGGCCTTCACAATTGCCAACGAGCCGCTGCTCGACCTGACCCCAGACCAAGTGAACCTGCACGGGGGAGCAGTGACCCTAAGCCGCACCATAGGCGCATCAGGGGCGCGCTTGTGCTCATGTCGCTGCTCTCCTGCCTCGCTGCCATGGGTTTGAAGCGCGGCGTCACAGCGATGTGCATCGGTGGCAGCAGTGCCACGGCAGTGGTGGTGGGGCGAGAGGAGGGGTTCCAGCTGGAGGGACACAGGCCGGGGCACTGGTAGCAGCAGGAGGTGCAGGCCAAGGAGTGAAGCGCCGTGCGCTGATGGCGTTGCCTGGTAGTGTGGAATGGGGTAGTGGTGTGGGCTGTCTAGTGTGGTGTCGAGTCTTAGCTGCAGGCTGTAGGCATAGAGCTGTGTTTACATCAGCTGTTGTGTGTTGAGAGGGTGTGGCGACTGATTCTAAACCTCGGTTGTACAATAGTCAATGTTTGGCCGCATCTAGCATGGAGGGATGCTCTTAGAATGTGTAATTATATCGAACAAACTCAACCAGAATGACAAGGGCCAAATCACCATTGTTGAATCCATACTGAAAGGTGCTACAACTACGGTACCAAAGAATGGAACAAAGCAGTTCACAGGTAAGGCAGGTACCGCACATGCAAGTACGGTAGTCGCCAGTCGGCAATTTTCTCATGCAGGAATCTCCTGGATCCCGTTCCCCTGTGCAGCTCCCGCGCTTCCTTCCCTCGGCCACATGCTGTCGTGCTCCATCCTGCATGATTAACCCTTCCTCCCACAACCAGACTTTACATGGGAACTGGGCCCCTTCCTCATCCACCTCCCCCTTCACACTCACGCCCTTCTCCCCATGCGGTTGATGCTCAACACGACCACACTGCACTAGAGCAATCATCCTTGTCAGAAAACCAGCATCGATGACAGCAGCCATCAACAAATCACACCATCAAGAGCCATGCCATAATATGACATCATGCCATGCCAAGGCACACTACACCACACCACACCACGCCACACCAGGCCATATCGCCCTGCACCATCTCACGCCACACCTCACCACATCACGCCAAACCGCGGGCTCAGTCGAGCGCCCAGAGTCAGCGCGGATCATATGTGAGGAAGAAGAGCAGCGCCACGTCCGCCGCGAACCACGACCACTGCGGGATGTCCCCCAGAGAACGGCTGCAGCCGCCGCTGGCTGCGCAGAAACGCGCGCTTCTCGTGCTCGATTTAGGACAGGGCGGAGAGAGGGGATAGGACAAGGCGGAGAGGGGGGAATAGGACAAGGCGGAGAGGGGGGAATAGGACAAGGCGGAGAGGGGGGGATAGGACAAGGCGGTGAGGGGGGGATAGGACAAGGCGGAGAGGGGGGGATAGGACAAGGCGGAGAGGGGGGGATAGGACAGGGCGGAGAGGGGGGGATAGGACAGGGCGGAGGGGGGGATAGGACAAGGCGGAGAGGGGGGGATAGGACAAGGCGGAGAGGGGGGGATAGGACAGGGCGGAGAGGGGGGGATAGGACAGGGCGGAGGGGGGGATAGGACAGGGCGAAGAGAGGGGGATAGGAGGCGGAGAGGAGTTGGACGGAGAGGGGAGAGAGGACCGGGAAGGGGGGTAGGACAGAGGTGGGAGATAGAACAGGGAAGGGAGATAGAACAGGGAAGAGCGACAGAACGAGGGGAGTTGACACGGAGGGTGGATAAAAACAGGTGCGGAACACAGGAGAAGGGGGGGGAGAGAACTGGCCGTCATCTGCGACCCCCTTCTCCCCCCTGGCCACGCGCACCTGGTTGAGCAGCAGCTTCTCCGCTGTCCAGCGCAGGTAGATCTGCGCGTTCTCCCGCTGGCGAAGGCGCGCAAGGACGGTGCGGTGCTTGAGCGCGGGCGTGGCGCAGTCTAAGACGATGAGCGGGCGGACGCGCAGAAAGAGCAGCTTGCACACGCGCCGCAGGAAGCCCAGCACGTGCGCGCCCGGCAGCAGCTCGCCGCGCATGGCCTTGAGAAGCTGCAATACCTAGATGCTCGCGTCTGTCCATGTGTCGCCGCGGGGGGATTGGGCCGGGAAGAGGCGTGATGGGGAAGGCGCATGGTTATAACAGGCGACTGCGCCATTGGCAGCCATTGATCCGGAACGGAGAGAGGGGCGTGTGCCAAGATGTGCATCAATGCTGCAATGAATAGTTCGATGTTACTCTACCTCAACAGCGCGACGCCGAGGGGAAGGGCGTTGCGATGCCGAAGGGAGAAGCGAGTCACTGCGGGGGCAAGGGGAGAGGCGCCGCGATGGTGGGAAGGGAGGCGATTCGCTGAGGGAGAGCGTCCAGGGGGTGGATAGAGCGCATGTAGGTCTGAGCGCGGAGCAAGGGAGAGAGCGGTGCTGGTTGCAAAGGCGAGCAACCGAGAAACTGCCGAATGGACAGCAGAGACGAAATGTGAGAACTACGTATTCGGCGCGATTTGTGTGTGCCGAACTCGTCCGCCCGATACGAAAGGCGCGTGCTGCGTGCGCCGTCGCGGCGAACTGCGCGCCTAAGTTGCACGGCGATGTCGCAGGCGTAAAACGCATCCATTGCGGGCGAGATAAACAACGGGCGGGCGCGATAGATTCAGTGGCGTAACCCTAAGCCTCGCTTTTGACGACGCTGTGCTACTCTCGCTGTCTGGTTTATCGATTGCGTGCACTGATGCTCTGTTGTTGGCGGTGCGCTGGAGTTGTGGTTGCTAGCAATATGTGTCAGGGTACGAGAGTCGAGCTTGTCATGGTTCACTAAGGGGGTGTCCAGCTCGTTCATTTACTGTTCGTAAAGCCCTTCAGTTACCACAATTTGCGTTGTAACACTGAGTTTTACAAAAATGCCAGACACGATCAGCTCCCGTTCACGATACGGCACACCCCCTGCACGTACCTCGAATCGTGTGACGCACGTTACAGGAATCAGCGTGCGCATCGAACAATGGTACAGAACCGCGTCCTGCCCACTACAGTGAGTGCCCATCGTATTGCGCGCTTGATTTCGCATGTGCCGCCTGACACTCGCCAAAACCTATAGTGGAAGTGTTGGCCTGGCGAAAATTCTAACGTTTTGGCTGACAAGGGAACTGGTTACCTTGGTTGCCACACGGCCCCTGCACTGTTGAAGTCTGTGTGGGGGGATGGTGTCCGCGCGCCAGAATGACAGAAAGGGTGGACTCGAGCAAGGCACGTTCGTTTATAGGTACAGTGTTCAGTTTTGAACCCCGGATCGTGAGGAGGTACTAGATTTCCCGAAATGAACGAGCTGGACACGCCCTAACTGCCTGGTTGTGACTCAAGTTCCCAACTCCCATTTGGCCCATCGCAATTGACGAGAGGGGAGAGACAGCCCGCGCAAGTCCGCCAACTCTGAAGATTGTTTCGCGTCGGACTCCCCAGACAAACACGGTAACCACGTGGAGGCAAGTGATAAACCTTTGCCTCCACCCCCTCCAAAGTGCACCCTTGCTTTAAGGCGACTGACTGCGCATGAAGAACTCGAAGGAGTACAGTATTAACTTCAAAGCTACATGAGCTGGAAGACGATACACCCTGTTTCTCGATGTTTGAACAATCAGGAGCCCCAGCTACAGTGCGCACGTGTGCTTGGATTCAGCGGGCTGGTGCTTGCAACCGAAATGCACTTCAAGAGAACGGTAAACAACGGTTTATGAAAAAAACGTGCTTTTGAGTTCGGTTTCGTGCGGCAAAAGTGCTTATACGGTATGTTCTGGGACCAATTTGGACGCATTGATGTCAGTACAACCGGCTTGTCAATATGGCGAATGACAGTGTGGCGCGAAACAGGGTGTATCAGTAACGACGTTTTACAGTTCGCCTTAGTCGTGCTACGGTAGTACTGGTCGCGCAATTTATTTATCCGATCCCTTGAGCGGTTCACATTTGGATGACCTAATGTCCATTTCGTCACGCTTCACAGAAGTAACGTAACGAGGCCTCACTCCAAACGTGCAACGAAGCCTGCAACTACAATTGGCCAATCGTGTGGCGGGAGGTGGTGGACTAGTTACGATTCGCACGACCCTAGGCGAAAAAACGGTGTCCCACTTTTGGAAGACACGAACCTGTTCGCCTCCCTGAATCACGCGATTGAACATCGAAGCGACTGCCCTAGAAGTTGCAACGCCTCCGAACCGAGCCATGCGAACCGCAACGTGTCGCGGAGCTCGTCCCAGCGTTGCTGGATCTTATCAGCGGGCTAGTTCCGGACTACACTCCAACCGCCCGCCTGCAACTGCAGTCTTGCTGAGTGTAAACCACAAATAAAGTTAACCTTGGATTAGATCATGAGGTCTGTTTCTAATCCCACTTGCACAAGTCCAGATTAGATTGATCAGATCTGAAAACAGTTCACTCTGCAGAAAATTTAATGCAGCCAATCACATACATTTTGCAGTCTTCGATCCCATCCTTCCCCTACTCTACCAGATTGGGTGAACACTGAATATTGAGCTATAAGAGGATAACCAAAATAATATATTCCTTCATTTTTAAGACAAGTATGAATTCTGGATATTTGAACACCTAATCGTAGCTCGTTTCTTCGCAAATCGGATCAAGTCGACAACTTATATGTTATCCACATATTATGTTTATGTCAACCGATAGGATTTACGTGTAAAAAAAAATTTTTACGAGACTTTTATGAGCTCCCAAAGTATCAAGTCTCTGCCAAAAGTGATTTTGTTACATTGCATCTGATGGCTTTCCAATAAATAACGACTAGCGTGTGGTTACAAAAAAATGGTTAGAATGACATTGTGTTCATAATCAAGAACTGAATATAGGCAAAGAGCCCCGTCTATAAGCGAATGCGCCTACTTGAGGCCTTTGGATATATCAAGGAGGAGATGATACGAGTGTCAGTCTTGATGCGGCGAGCTTTGGGTCAGGCAAAGACGGCATCACACTAACGAAATTCCAGTGCAGCGTTTCTAAACAGTGTATAGCCACCACCAATTTCCCGATTTTGCTTTGATACACCTGATGCCTATTTCAGTCTCCTTCCCCATCTTTCCCTGTGCTCCTCTCTCGAGCACGCGCTCCCCATGGGGAGAATGGGACTGTATTTGGGTAGCCTAGCGTGTCTTGTCTGGGAAACTCAAATAACTTCTTCGAGGTCAAGAACATCTTAGTTTTGTCGTGGGCTAGTAACGCGCGGGCCGTTGGCTGTGAATGTCGACCACTGGGCGTATGGAGTGGCAGTGGGCGTGTTCAGAGTGGGCAGTTGCTGCACCTACAGACGCAGCGCACGGAACATGTGTTTCACCGCAGAAAGGGCCTCTGCTTTGGAGCTGGCATGCTTTCGTAGTCCATGCTGGATTCAAACTCTTCAGACCTTCAATTCCCAGATTGAATCTGGCCAGGATTGGGACAGTACTCTACCGTGTTGACTACTCCTAGCGAGCCGTTCTCAGGGCGCCTAGTATGATGCTCCGCCTAGTGAGCGAGATATCTAAATGCACTTACCCCTTCTCACGTACACGTACACAATGCGAGCTTCGCAAGCCCTAGCAGAGCCACATTCTTGTCACCGACGGGAGTAGTAGAATATCACTTGTTGGGAACTAGTAGTACTGAGTTCACCTGCTACTACAACTAGTGTTCTCCAGTGTGCCGCATCCTCAGCCGCTCGCACCATTTGACGCCACCATCTTTGTCAACCTCCCCACACCCTCCTTCCGTTTGAGTAGTAATACTACTACTCAATAAAGTCGGAGTTCTCGTGGCACCGCCGACGAGGTTAGTACTATTACTATTACGCCATGGCTACATTTCAAGGCGGTTCTCCGTCTGATGCTACGCCTACGAGCTCTGATTGTAACGGTGGCGCTGCTGCTAAAACGCTCGGAGCCGCGGTGGGACCCGCCGTAAATCATCCGCTAACTTTACGCGCCAAGGGCCTCCTCACACGAGAGGATTATGTAGCGCTGGCCACAGCGCGGCGACGCGGGATTCATGTCGCTGCCACCGGCGCCATCGCGTCGGCACCTGGCTCGCCGGGAGCGGGAACTAGTAGTACTACAATCAGCCGTTCAGCCTCAAGTGGCTCCGCGGAATCCGCTAGTACTAGCTCCGACGCTGCCGCCGCCGCCGCCGCTTCTCGCCGGTTGCTACAACCGCGCCGCCATTCCCTCGAGATGTTTCATCCACGGATGTTGCCGTTGCCCCTCTCCGCGTCGACGCCTGCCGCGGTTTCCGCCTCCGCCGACGGCGCCGCCGCAGACGAAGATACGATCGCGATTTCAGACGCAAAATCTCTCAGTTGCATGGTGATCTGCAGCGCTATTTCTAGTAGCACACCTGAACCACTTGCTACTACGAGCCATGGCTGCTTTCTCGACGAGTTACCCGACGATGTTCTGGTCAATGTCCTCGCCGCGCTTGGCTCTGCGCAACTCCTGGCAGCGGCCGGCGCGGTCTGCCGTAGATGGCGCCGACTCGTGCCGTTCGTCCCCTCGCTCGCCTTCGCCCGCCTCTCGCTCCCTCCTGCTAAAATCGAAGAGGTGGTATCGCGTATGGTGATGCGCTCGCACGGCCTGTCGTCTCTCCACGTGGAGTCCGTGAATTGCGGCGGGAGTCACGGCAGCGTCAGCGGCGCCAGCAGCGCGCATCCCCGCGAGTTCATTGTCGAGGCGTGGGCCCGCCACGCTGGCTGCTCCCTCCGACACGTCACCCTCACGCAGCACAAGGCCGTCACTGCCGCCGGATACTCCGCCGCGAATTCCGCTGGGAGCTCCGACGTTCCCAGCTGCACGGTCTACGCGGGCGGTCCGGACCTGAGCGCCCATCTGCAGCATCTCGCGTCACATTGCCCCAACCTCTCCTCGATGCGCCTCGGCTCGTGCACCCTCCCGCCACATTCCCTCCGCGGATACTCCGTCTTTTCGCATCTGCGCACGCTTTCCCTTGAGTGGCTCAACCTGTCCGGTTCCACGCTCCAATCTCTGCTCGACGCG